AAAAAATACATGACTAACTTACCCCTGCTCCCTCATCACATCCTCCATCTCAGCGCACTTCAATTCCAGAGCTCTCTTGCGGGCATGTTCTCGTATCTCTGCATTTGGACCTCGGGTCCTCTGATCCTCTAGCTTCTGCAACTCCTCTTCTGTCCGAAAGTCAATCTGAAATATTTGAAAGCTATTGAGGAGCATTGCTACAAAAAGAGAAATACAATATATCTAAATAAAAAGAATTCTAACTGGCCATGTGTTAATCAAATAATTTTATGGTGGGGAGTAGGCATTCTAATAAAATTCCTATGGAGAAGTAAATCATAGCTTATAACATCATCATAATCACTCATGTAATATCAAATTCACACATAAAACTTACCTTGTTCTTTGTGTTGCGGATCAAAGCCATATTTCTCTGTACATATCCATTTGTGCCCGACCCTCGGGCCGTCTGCAGCCCGATTCCGTTATACATTTTGACAGAGTCTGAAAGAATAAATCTAGTTGAAAAATAAAAACATACAAGTGCCATTAATTTGAGACAGTTACTGTTATCAATCAAGCATGACTTAATACAATCCCCAACATAAATCCCCAATTCAATTTTATTAGATGATGAAACAAACAAAAATAATAATAATTAAAAAAAAATTATTACCATTACAGACTTGAGAAAAAAATCACATACGTAAACTATGAAACAATTCAAAAAAGGACATACAGCACAGGATTTTCTTTCCCAATTTGTATAACCCATTCCACTTTAAACATTGTTTCATGATTGAGGACAAAATCAGGTTGCATAGGAATTTTTACTAGTTAAAGATGTGTGAAGACTTTAAAAAGACTTCTTAGAATAGCAGTTACCGAATACTTTTCAAATGACTGGTTAAGAACATAATTCTCCTACAATGGGAATGAAATCAAACATATTAGCCATTTTTGAGTCATGTACTGGAATATTACAAACACTAAAATGTCCCAAAACACTATGTTTAGCAATACATATAATATCTACAGCCAAATATTACAGCTTCATGGTTCAAACAGGTGTATTTTAGAAACCAAATCTCTCACAAATGGGCAAAGTACATGTCTGAAGTAAGAGAATTTGGCACACCATCATTGAACCTAGTTTGACTATTTATAATTGTCAAATAATTGACAATATGCAACAATTTTCAACTAAAAATTAAAATTAATGGAAAACTAAATAAATACATGTTTATACATATATAGGAGGTGATGATATGTAGTAATATTAGGGTCCTAACTGGGTCACAAAGGAAGCATATGACTAATCACTGACTAGCTTGGAATAAACTGACCAGACTCTGGTTCAAGGGCAGACATGGAAGAAGAAGAAGAAGAAGAAGAAGAAGAAGAAGAAGAAGAAGAAGAAGAAGAAGAAGAAGAAGAAGAAGAAGAAGAAGAAGAAGAAGAAGAAGAAGAAGAAGAAGAAGAAGAAGAAGAAGAAGAAGAAGAAGAAGAAGAAGAAGAAGAAGAAGAAGAAGAAGAAGAAGAAGAAGAAGAAGAAAGAAGAAGAAGAAGAAAGAAGAAGAAGAAAGAAGAAGAAAGAAGAAGAAGAAGAAGAAGAAGAAGAAGAAGAAGAAGAAGAAGAAGAAGAAGAAGAAGAAGAATAATAATAATAAAATAAAAATAAAAACAAATCTAAAAAAAAGTTATTCATTTATCAATCACCATAGGAGTTTTTCCAATACCTCTGTTGAGATCTTCACAGTAAATAAGTCCTAAATCAATAAACACATAAGATATTACGGCCATGGCAAGGTCCATGGGACTGTGGGTTAGGCTGGTTAAGAATTCATCATGACCCCTTATAAACCCCTTCAAGTTCCCAAAAGTATTACACACTGGAGGGAAGCCCCTGTCCCTATATCTTTTAAGACGGCCATGATCAACAGTTCATCTGAAAGGTAATGAATAGCATTGTAATTTAGGCTGGTTGAATGGTCCCCTTAAAGGTACTTGTCTCAAAGCTCTTTGGGAGGCTTCTGGAATCTATTACCATTTGGCCCTTGCTCTCAACATGGCCCACAGAAACCAAGACAAACTTAAATGACCCCTTACAGACTGTCAATTTCATTTTAGATACTGCACAGAAAAACAAGTGATAAGCCCTTACATTTAACTTATCTGAAAGCAAATGATCTACATATATTGGTTCTCAGAAAAAAAGCACCCAGTGCTCAATACAACCAAAGATTTTGCATATGATATAATCAGAAAAAAAACTGCACTGAGTTATGGCAAAGCAGACATAGGGTCAAGACCTTAATCACGTGAGCCAAAGTGGCCAATGTCACAAATGTACTGTCCAATTTCCTACATCCAAAAAAATACCAGAAATTTATAAATAATCTTTGTTTCACTGTTAAAATTATACGTCCATCACAAAAAAAGGATCCATACCTTATATGGTCTAATAATTCCAACAGCCTGCAACTAGTTTTGGTATTGGTATCTGAATACTAATTTCCTTTAAAGGGAGAAAAGACTTTGAATTATTGTATAATAATGTTAAAATACCACTGATTGTCAGAATCACATACAGAACAAGATAGCCTTTTTTGGCATTATCAGGAATAGAGAAAAAACATTTGTTTCCATTGGTGTAACTGCTCTAAGCAGATTAATGTATATTTCAGAAGTATTTTTAATTTTCTGTGTTCTTTGACACCAAGTTCGCTATGTCCTCACAAATACAACATGAAAGATCTTATATTTGTTATGATAATCAAGCTTCTTTTCTTAACACTTTCACTGCAAGTAAGTCATGCATGGGTGTTGTGAGAACATGCTGATATGGTCTCCTACTTCCTTTCCTTTGTGCTTTTTTGAGACTTTTTTTCTTTTCCCTCAGAATTTTTCAAATGTATTTTTTGTGCAGCTACTACAAAAAAATCAAAAGTAAACAGTATACTTTGGGAACATGAATGAAAAATGAGGACACATGATTTTCATCACTAGGTAACGAATTTATGAAGAACTGAACTTGTGTAAAGGCATTAATGTGTTGTTTGACATCTGACAATAGTAATCATGGTATTTGGATAACAAGAAGAGCACAAGTGAAAAAAGAATGGAAGTGGAAAATCTCATATTATTTCACAATTTATACACCATTATTGCCACAATCTGGTTGAGTAGCAATGATCAGGCAACTGCCATAGCTTCAGGACTGTTTTTTCCATGCTATTGGAATAATCCCAAAGATACAAGGAAAAGTTGAGCCTGGAGTATCCAGTTAGATAAACTGCAAAAGATTGCCTGGTTACAGTAAGTGTTCCAAGGGTCTACCCTGCAAGATACACCACTAATATAGCTCTTATCTTTTTCTTGGAATAATCATTATCCCTGTATCAACTGTAATACACTTTTGTAAATCTTGACAAAAATTAATTTCATCTTCCTTTTATAATTTCTTTGAATTATTTTCTAAACCACTATCTCCTATGATTCGTACCCTCCCTAGCTATAAGCAGGGCATACCAGATTAAGGGCAGTTAATATCCTGAGTACAGAGTGCCACCAAAGCTGTTTCTATGATGACCCTTCAAATGATGCAGCCTCTTCTATTCTAATGGTTCTTCTTCAGAACTACCAATTAAGCCTTCTTGGCTGTTTGGCCCTGCGACTGTATATTGACATAAAGCACAAATAATATAAATTTTCTGCTCTTAGAACACATTGTTAGGGATAATTTTATGATTAGGTCAGAGTGCCCTCCTTTTAATGGTATGATCAATGTGTTAATCAATACAGCCTTCTTTTATAAGCTGTAAGCAGTCAGACTTACTTCCTCCTGGACTAAGTTTACACTGGGTTTGGTTAAATGCAAGGTCAGCCATAAATAAAAGCCAACCATAACTTATTGGTAGAAGGAAGGTTGATTTGATAATAGACTAGCAATGGTAGGGCAACCTGTTTCAAAAGCTGGTAATATGCCTAACCATCTCATGATATAATACGCATTTAATGTTTACTATAGAAAAAAACATTCTTAATAATTATCATTGGGAAACACAAGAGGTGAAACACTCAGACTGGGAAATGGAATTCTATGCTAGGTTTTCAATTATTATTTTGAAAATTGTAACCTTCCACTTTTTTTTCTTTTCTTTTCTTTTTTACCAAAATTAATAATTTCAAGGTTCTAACACAAGTTACTTAGTCTTTTGACTGACTTTCCAATCAGAATCAAGTACTGGAAAGGGAAAAAAACACATAATGCAATGTCAATTAACCAAGACTTTTATTATGGTTTCCTGATTTTTTTTCAAAATTCAAATGTGGCTGGCCTTGTTTTCTTCCCTTTAGTCACATAATGCATGTTTTAAGCATTATGAGTGCGGGATAGTTTTCACTGACTTGCCATAATTTCTCAAAGCCCAGAAATCTTTCATATCGTAGAAAAACAAACTACGATACAAAGACTATACTCTCAGTATTATTACACGATATATACAAGGAATATAATATATGATACTAAACACTTTATCTTTTACAACATAGCTACTGCAAAAAAATTGAAAAAGCTAGTTCATAGAACACATAAAATGAATATTGATATATAAATTTTTCAAATGTTTCATTTTTTGATTCATCTGTAAAATATGTTTATCTTAATGCACTACAATCTTATAGCACATTAATGGATGCATATGCTTATGCTATAGAATAGTTTTTAAAAATAATATACACATGATTTATTTTTTATATAACATTCAATTGAACTGACTTGGCCAACATGAAACATTATCAGGTACATGAGTTTCATGCCTAGAAAATACAAATTAGTTTGATAATGACCATTGTGTGTATATTTTATAGGCCTGGCGATTCATAATCAAATATAGGACCCTTAAAATATTTAGAGAATGTTTCATGGCCATTGCTAAAGCACAGAAGCTACAGCAATCATAAGTATGCATCTATCCATAAACAAACAAACAAAAAAAAAATACTACTCCACTTCATATCCATCCTAACCCCACACATTTCCAATCTCCTTTGAGCACAAAGACATATTTGAAGGCCAGTATTAACCTGCCTATTTGAAATCTGACATGAAAAATTTATATCACACCTTTTTCATGAATATCTAATTGTAATTGTAAACTGCCAACAACTAATCTAATTTAGTCACATAACAAATATGTTCACTAATAGATTTTGAATGCATAATTTAAATACTGCATCATTCTTGAACTGATTTCAATCTATTCAAGGAATAAAAATTATAGCGTTTTCTTTACAGCTAAAATGGAATTTCCAAATAAAAACTAGATCAGCAATCTTGAGGCTTTTCTGTTGTATCAGTTTTGCATATCAGCAACTCTCAACAAACTGTAACTGACTTTGGTTAGTGTCTAAATATAACAGTTTGTTCAAAAGGTGGTTTGCATGAGTATCGTATCTTTTCATGCTATGCTAAGTGTAAGTGTAATACAAAGCTAAGAATGAATGGAATCAGATGACCATGGTATACATTGTATTCTGACTGATGTCCACCTCAATCTCCAGTATCTGACTTGGACGACTGTAAAAGACTCTTACTATGATACTGATTATCAATTGCATTTACATTATCTTAACCCTTCATTGATGGGTACAGCTATAGTCGTCATGACGTAATTGCCTATGAAGTGTATATGCCTCATGACTCTCAGTTGCAGCCAGCTGTACACAGCTTAAGCCTTGCCACAAAGTCTAGAGTGTTGCATAATATTACACCACATATAAATCAGGCCCATCTTCATAGGGTTAACCTACTAGATCCAATTACAAGAATGTAACCTTGTGAAAAGTTCTGCATAAAGCTGGGGTGATGAAAATGACTTGTCATAAGTGCAAAAAGCTCTTAAAGGAAGATTAGACTCAGTGGGCATTTAAAAAGAAGCTCTTGCATATTTTTCGACAGTATATAAGGGTGGAATGTACCATCCATGAGCCAAGGCCGAAAGAGCAATGACTAGAGGGAGAATATTACTTCCATGTTTAGTATCCTGTTCCTATTCTGATGGGCAGGGTAGGGTGTGTTGCATAAATCTGAATATTATGAAAATATTAAAAATGATACAAATAACAAACTGTTATTCATTGTTACTTTTATTACTCTTAATTGTAAACTACCTAGGGAGATGATATGGAGTCTGTGCAAGAAAAATAGTCTATTACCATTGTGATACAGCATATCAAATGACAAATATGGCAAAAAATCCACAAGCAGAAGGAGATAATAGTATTGCAAAGGGGAGGCAAAGAGTCTTGATACTCCAAACAAGTATTTGAGTTGGCTGAGCCTACAAGCCACTACAAACTATGCACCCCACAGAGCTACCACTCAAGTAATCCTAATACCCAGATATTGGGCCACATTGAGGAGCAAAATTTAATGGGTTAATAAACTAAATTAGGGATAAAATTTAACATTTGTGACAAATATAATCACAAGGTAAATATTATATGGGAACAACAGCTCATCAAATTCTAATATCTTTGTCACCAATTACATTCTCTTATGCAAATTGCCAATAAAGACAATATATATAATATGAATAATAACAAGGGCAGTGCTAAGCAATTACCATGGTCTTCATGATTCATCCAATGGAAAAAGATAGCCATCTTCAATATTTTGGCAAAATAGACTCTGTCCTAGTTCTTCCTTTCTATCTGGCATTGGCATCAGACCAAGACTGCATGTGGATTTTTTTTTTTTTTTTCTGTTTGGAACACATGAACACAGCCAGGAGGTGAAAGTTCAGGATTGTGTTGGCCTCAAGATACTCTTCAGGTAAATACAGCTTCCTATGCTCTTTTCACGCTTATTTGTCTAAAAGGACATTAGATAATACAAAATACTCTGACCATATCAGAATGGGACCTGAAAATCACATAAGCATCATCATCCATATTACATTAATTTAAACAAATATCATTAAGTCAAAGAGACTAAAATATTGTAAGAAGGATCAGTCAGGTTATGTTTATAAAAAAAAATTACTTTATTAATTGGTTAAAGTAATCTGTTCATAAAGAATTCCCATTGTACAAGATCAAGACAGAATTAATCAAATAAAGGTTCTTACCATCTTTGCCTTGAAACTGCAATTATTAACAAAAAATGGTGTAGTGTTAAAGGGACACATTTCACTACTCCAACTTCTATATCTATAAAGATTTACCATTGTGCTGGATGAAAATTGAAGATGCTGCTGCAAATGTTTTATCTCTATGTTAAGTTACTTTCTTTCTCACAGAAGATATGTTACATATGTAAATGTTTTGGATTTCATCAACCTATCAATTCTATGTACTGTCTACTGCAAAATGCAGATTGTCATATATGAAAGAGATACCATAGTAAAGGTTTGATATTTAATGGCTCCATTTTTTCCAAAGTTCCATACCTAGGTTAAAGGTAATTTCCTAGATATACTGATGGAATCCTCAAAATCTCTTGTGTGCTTTTACAGTGGTTTTGGGCTGCATATTGTGTCACTGTTAGAGGGTTCCTTCTCCTAAAACCCTTAATGACAGGCAGCCGTGTCTCAAAATGCAAAATCACCACATCTGCCCAGTAAGACAGAACTTGAACAGGTATGAGCAACATGACTATCTTCAAGACTCAGGTGAGACAGTCTCCACAAGGAAAAACATATCTCACCACATACTTTGTCCCAAGTTACTGGGCAAGTTATAAACATTTCTAGCTGTCCACGCTGAATCTACTTTTTAATTCTGTCGACTACTGCTACTATAGTTCAATGTTACCAAGGGCAATGCATAGCTCGCAGTTCATCTGTACCCTCCACACTAAATATATGTCAAAAATATTTTTTATAATACAACTGTTGTGGCAGCTGGAGCAAAGTGCTAATAAAAGGGGGGGTGAATAGCAGGTAGGAAAGGTAAGGTTTGGATTTTTAAGTTTGCCAGGTTCTCACAGTCCAGACTGTAAGAGTTTAGAAATTTTACGTGGGGAATGAATTCCCCGCGTAAAATTTCCGATAAAAAAAATTATTTGGTCAAATTCTGTCTGCGCAAATGTAGTTCTCGCTTAGTTCTTTTTTTAAATCATCTTCCACACATAAAATTCTTTTGACCTTTCCACGCACTTGTTTCATCTGTGGACAAATGTAAACAAAATTATATTTTCCATGCATGAAAAAATGTATAATATTCACCGAGCAAGAAAAATACTACATCTGGATCACAGTGACACGATCTTGAGTCACAGCTATAATCATTTTTGCTTGCACCCAATTTTCTTTCACGCAGATATTTGAATTCCAGGGTAACTAACACAACAAAACTGTCCATTCATATTTAAACAAACATGAATAACCGCTTGATTATTATCACTTCAGAACATTGTTATTAAAAGTGAAAAATTATAACTGTTACTTGTACCATTAATGTCCTTTGCTTGCAGGGCAAAACCCATACACTGTCGTAACTCACTACGACGTGTCCACGAAAAGCAACATATTATCCAGTCCGGTAAGTTTGCATGATACCCTGGTTTTGGGACCTCATCTCTGGAGGATGTATAACTCTCGGTAACAAATACCGAACCATACTTGACTTGTAAAGTTCCTTGATACCATTTTTTTTTTTTTTTTTTTTTTTAACAAATCATAAATCTTACAATGTACACTTTTCACAAACACATTCTTTAATATGGGGGCTTCCTCTAATCATTACCATTATTTACAAAGAATTGTCTCACAAAAATGTGTATAATACAAATTTCCCGTGATAATTCATTGCATAATTCCTCATCCCAGAACAAGGCCAGAAAATTTCAGAAATCAAAAGGTGCCCCAAGTCACAGCCACAAGACATCCCACACAAACCGCAAACTTATCAAAATCCCCGCAAAGTCACGATTATCAAGAACGCTGTACAAGGGAAAAAAATTATTGATCCAACCTCTGAAACTGCTTAAGACTGCATAACTGGAGGGAAAAAGCGCAGCGGAGCAGACGTTTCAACGCCTCGCCAACACAAACGTTGCGTCGCTGTTATTGTTTTTGTTTCTTCGTTCAGATAGCGCTCGCTCGTTCACATCCGCGAGGAGGGTATTCTTCCGATTACAAATGCCGTATAAAGACGTGTATATAAAAGATTATCTGTTACATATATATGTACTTGTACATATACATACATGTAGTTACACACACATATGTATATATGTGTGTGTGTGTGCGTGTGCGTGTGCGTGTGCGTGTGCGTGTGCGTGTGCGTATGCGTGTGCGTGTGCGTATGTATTCTCAACTAGTTTCAATACGAGAGAAGAGCTAAGCTTGGACGGTCCCGCCTGTTATATATAAACGGATGCATTTTTTGGCACGCGCAGCCTTATTTGAAATATTATTATATGTTTTAAAGTTCTGTTGGGGAAACAACTTTTTGACATCTTTATTTCCGTCAGGGAGGTTACGTTTTTGGTAGCGTTGGTTAGTTTGTTTGTTCGTTAGTTAGTTGGTTGGCAGGATAACTCAAAGAGTAAGGAACAGGTTTTTTATGATTTTTTAACCAGTGGTCTTAGCCCAACTTTGATGCCATTTTAATTTTGGTTACGATCTGGATCCAGGTATTTTTGTTTGTTCGTTGGTTAGCAGTGTAACTAGATTTATGATTATTTTTTTTACCACAGCTGTGTCTGAGCCCAACTTCGATGCCATTAAATTTTGGTGGTCCGAATTATGATCCGCATCCAGGAATTTTAAAAGGAATCATTTTTAATTTATTTTAAAAACGGACGTCACCAGCGTACCCGACAAGAGGTGATTTTAAAGTAATTCTTCAAGTGTGAATGTTTTTATTGCACCAATGACCCTATTTTCTTGGCAGAAGTAAATGCTCTCTGAGTGCTTCTACTTTTCGCCTTTTTTTACTTCCAACTTTTTACTTGTATTCATGATTAAAGAGTCATTTTTGTCTAACTTCACTCTTACTGTAACATTATTGAACAGTATAATCATGTCATCCCCTTTCCTTCTTTCTTCCAAAATAGTTAATCTTATTTTCTGCAGCTTTTCCTCGTCTCTTAGAGTAGATGCCCATCTCGCGGCTGTTCTCTGAACTCTTTCCAGTTTGTCTATATCCTTTTTTTACTGTGGACTCTATATCCCCTGCACTGTACTCTAGGCTAGGTCTTATGATGTCTATAATTATCTTTACCATATATTCGTTCACATACACGGATGCCCTCTTCATGCAGGCAATCAGCCCTAGCATTTTATGAACCTTTTTATTTATATGATCATTTGGGCTTAGGTTCTTGCTTATGATTACTCCAAGGTCTTTTTTCTGTGTTTTATACTGCGTTTCATAATTTGTATTGGTATAATGGACGATTTCTACTTTCTCAGAACCTGACTACACGGCATTTATCGAAGTTGAATTCCATTTTCCAAGTACAACACCACATGAAAAAAAAGTTTTCGATGTTACTTTAAAGGCATTGGTATGAGAGGTCGTCTATATATATATATATATATATATATATATATATATATATATATATATATATATATATATATATATATTGTATTTACGCGCTGTCTGCAAACATATTCGGATGGCTATCTGGGCTTATGTTTGACCCTAAATCACTGATGAAAATTGTAAACATATTTGGCGCCATGATCGATCCTTGAGGTACTCCGCTGGTTACTCATCGCCACGCAGAGTGCTTCCCTCTAATTACGGTGCTCATATGTCTTTCATCCATTCGAGGAGTTTGCCTTTCACTCCATCTAAGTGTTCTGATTTTCATATTAGTCCCAAGGCTGTCAATCCAGTAATACCTTCTGCTTTCCCAGTATCCTATGACGTAGCGATGACGTGGTAGTGAAGAAGTCGGTCGGTTATGACGTCAGGCCGGTAGGGTATGACGTCGGAGTTGGTACGAGGAAGATACCAGAAATGACAAGATAATTGTTTTTATGATATAATAGGCAGATATATATAGAAAATATTGTTTACTTCTCTCGCATTCAGTACATCATAGATGATATATGTAAACAAAATTACTTTGAATTATAACCCACACAGTAATGACAACGAAATTATGACAAAGAAGGCAAAACGTCTAATATCTCTTGTAGACTAAAAGTATTTTCTTAAGGTTGCTAACGGTATGGAACAATTATTGAGAGGGAATAACAGGGAACACTTTGAGTTTACTTCTGAGATATTTAATTCAACCCAAATATAAATGAAAATAGATATCTTTAGAGCGGTTCTTGGCATTATTATGATGACGTCATATAGCCCCACTCCCATTTCCTCGCGTATAGGCCTTGCAAATGCATTTTGGCAAGTCTGTGGCCAATAAGGAAACTAAAAAGGTGGTTGCTGAACGGGATTACTAAATGCGTACAAAAAAACTACAACAACAACAACAACAACAAAAAAGAAAACACATGTGACATCACAGTTTCTGAGCCAATCACGACTCGAACACTCTTTGCCAATCAAAGGGCATCCGGGCATTCAGAGACGGTTGACGCGGAAGCCCTCTACTATGAAACACCTTATCAAATGCCTTTTTTGAAGTCTAAATACACGCAGTCCATCCCGTAGTCTCTTTCTTGTAATAATTCAGGAATTATGTCCTAAAAACAGGAGATTTGCTACACATGACCTTCCTTCCCTAAAACTAAATTGATTATTTGATATAATTTTGCGTTTTCAAGTAATTCAATCCATTGTTTCCTAATTATCCTTTCTGGCAGATTACATACTACACTGGTTAACGAAATAGGCCTATAATTTAGTGTTTTGTTTTGTTTCAATGAATTTTGGAATATTAACAAGGAGTAAATAGTTCTTCGGCACATTCCCTAAGAACCCAATTATAATCTCATCTGGTCCCTCTACTTTCGTCTTGTCTAACCCTTTTTGTAGGTCTTTTTTCATTCTATTTGAAGGTGATATTTTCGATATGTTTCTTCATGTTTGCTCAGTTATTTGGCCTTATTTATTTATTTATTTATTTATGGGCCCTGAACAAACACAGACTGAAATTTCCCATTTAGGATTCCACGTATTTCCTCCTCCTTAGTATATACAATGTTATTCTCTTTAATGGCTTTAATTTGACCTTTCCTTTTAGTCTTACTATTTCTGTGGCTAAAGAAGGGCTTTGGTTCATTTGTACATTTATTGATTCTATTTTGTTCTGTCTAATTTTGCCTCCCTCATGGTTTGGGTTTACTCATTTCCAATTCCATGCCTCTCATACGCTGCCTGAGATCTATGTGTTCTGAAGCTTTTCCAAAATGTGGTGTGTGTGTGTGTGTATGTGCGTGTGCGTGTGTGTGTGTGTGTGTGTGTGTGTGTGTGTGTGTGTGTGTGTGTGTGTGTGTGTGTGTGTGTGTGTGTGTGTGTATGTGTGTGTGTGTGTGTGCGTGTGTGTGTGTGCGTGTGTGTGTGTGTGTGTGTGTGTGTGTGTGTGTGTGTGT